CGAGACAGAGCCATGTCCCACCTGGAGATTTCTAAAAGGTTTGGAAAATCCGGGCGGTCCCTGTTCATCAGAACTCACTGACATACAAAACCTTCTTCTGCTGGCCATGCTCTGACACGTGTGACCGTTAGAAGAAAGGGGAAACGGAGTTTGCACAAGCCCATTTCCATGAAAAGATTCGCCGCCGGCCCTCCGGCCGCCTCATTCTGTGCCAAAACAAAAACGAAAAACTGAGCATCTAGAGTTAAACGTTTGATCCGCTCTGCGAGCAGAAGAGAGTGAATTCAACCTTTTGCAACAAAGGACGTGCCGGTTACCAGATATGACGAATGCCAGGGACTTTCAGCTGACACCAATTTATCTCCTCCTGTTAGCCTTTCGATCAACCGAAGCCACCCTGCACTTTCTATAAAGTTTGGCCCGAGTCCCCACCGCCTCGGGTGCGTGGCCCCCAGCCTGCCTCTTCCACAGCGCCCTCTAAAACCTCCATCATGGAGTTTGACCTCAATTTCAGAACACGGAGCTTCATTCGCCAGAATCTGCTCTTTTTCTTTGCTCAATTCACTTGCTCGTAACACTCGAAGTAATTTGTGTCTGGACGCGGTGGATGGAGAACGGCCGGCGAAAGGTGCAAGGGATGCTCTCAGGAGTCGCTGGCTCATCTCTCAGCACTTTCCCACTTCTCTTTCTCAGACACACACATGCCCATCGCTCTAAACCACAACGCGTGTGCTCAGTTTGGGTTTAGCATCTTGGACGATCCTAACCCTAACCCTGCCAACCCGTGTTGCATGAACCCAGCCACTCTGACTTAGTTAAAACATGCATACACAGGATGCGCAAACCTAGTTTCCTTCTCCCGCTGAAGAAACCTTAACCGCTAGCTGAGTTGCCCAAGAAGGACGCCCAGCTGCCCAACTTAAGGAGATCTTTGAGGAACCAGTTCGCCAGATGTTTGCATTGCCCTTCACTTCTCCCTTCCACATCCTGGTTTGTCGAGAAGGGGCCGGCTCTGCTTCATCCATCATCGGCAGCTCTTTGGCTAGGTCTCTGTCTCTGGAGCTAAGCGATACTGCCAGCGTAAGAATCGCTCCATCGCTCCCTCTATTGTCGGTGACGGGTGGCACGAATGATGGATTTCCCATGCCAAGGGCCACGGAAGCGAAGCCACAGGCTCGGATCTAGGCGTACCACATGGAGGCTGGCCACCAGCTGGGCCCTGGGGGCTCCTCTTTCCACAGCCCCCTACTGAAGTCACAGTCCACAGGGTCACCTCCAAAACAGCTGACCGTAGCAGAGAAGCCAGGATGGACGGCAGAAGTTTCGACCGCTTCCACCCGCAACAACATTTTCCGTACTGGCAGCACCCACCTTATTAGGCAGGGAGCAGAAAAGGAGGTGACAAGCCAACATCTTAATTAGCCAGGGGCTCCTGCTGGAAGATGTTAATTTGATCCAGAGATAATCAAGGTTGCATGAGCTTAATAGTGAAGGTTTGGGGCGGGGGGGGGGAATCTAACCATTTCTGCAGGGCCCTGCTTGAAGATTCTTGAGCAAAAAGGGGCATTGAGAGGGGGCTTTCCTACACCCTCTGAAAAATAAACCATTCTCCCATCATTGCCCAAAGCAACCACACAGTTGAGAAAACTGTTGGCCGCTGCATGCCCAGAGAACGGGGAGGGAAAAGATTTTCAGGAGACCCAGGATCAGCTTGATCTTTGGAGAGAAGCATCAATCTGTCCCTTCAGGAGCCCGTGAGCAAGAGGGCCAAATTGCTCCCTTGCTAATAAATGAGGACTGGAGTAGACTTATCTACTGTCCAAGGTTCTGCAATTAATCCCTTTTTCTTGGTATTAAACCTGATGGATGAGATTGTGCCAATCTAGCTTCCGTGGTGGTTTCCTGATGTTGGGGCTTGCCATTTTTTTTAGGCCGTGGCCAGTGCCAAGATAATGTAAACGGTTTGTCACTGCCTGGCTGCTTTTAACCCTCGTGGTGCGCCGTTCGGAGCTGCCTGGAGTTGACTGGCATAGAAAAATCCGTAATAAAACAGAAATAAGTCAATAGTTCTTAGGCCTTGCCGTTTTCATCATCTCTTTGCCAGCCCGAATGACAAAAAAAGGTACTTCTGTCTCCGGGGAGTCGAAGACACGATTTGTGCCGAACCTCGTTTTTGTCCTGCTGTTTCCTGGTTAAAGCAGGCTGAGTTCACACAACATACTAGAACATTAAAAAAAATTGACATTAAAGGGGTTGATCAAGCTGGGCATCTATGGAGTCTTTTGAGGACTTCAGACAGGAGGGGGCGTGAAGACGGGCCAAAGACGGCTAACCTGTTTTTAGCAAAATTATTACAGC